AGGACCTATACAGATGCCAGTTGCAGGAAATATAGAAAATGAACAAGACACAGGCAAAAGTCTGCCCTCTGGGAGCCTGAAGTCTGGCTAGAGCAGAGAAGATATTCAGGTCAACACAGCTGGTGATAAATGCTACATTTGAGTGATGAGGCGTTCTGTGTGAATAACGGGTCAGAAAAGCTCCTTCATAGTTGAAAACATGGGTGGGTGGAGCATGGGTGGGTGGAGCAGGGGAAGCTTCAGGAGGGAGAGTTCTAATTCTTGAAGCACAATTAGAAACTAAACAGATGGGCTGGGCAGGGATGGCATTCAACATAGAGGAAGAACCCTATTCAAAAGAAGACTAGCTAACTGGTCACAAAGATGGAAATAATAGACACTTGGGACACCAATAAAGGAGGAGGTGGGGATGGGAGTTAGGGTTCAGAAATTACCTATGGGGTACAATGTTCACTAACTAGGGAATGAACCACCTGAGACCTAATCCCCACCACTACACAATATGTCCATGTAATGGGCATGCATGTGTACTCCCTGATTCTAAAATAAAAGAAGGAGAAGAAGAAGAAAGCCAGTCAGAAACATGTATCCTTGGGGACCTTATGTAGAATTAGAAAAGTTTACCTGTATCTGTAGAAAACTACATAGTGTATGGAACTGGAATCACCCAGGAGCCTTCAAAAACGACTGCCCTCTAGCTGTCTTTCCCCAGAGATTCTGATATGTAGGGAGTGGCTGGGCATTTGTGGTTTAAAAGCCCACTAGGTGATTTCATGGTCACCTGATTCATGATGTGAGAACCACTGACTTCAGAACCTTGGAATTAGACACACTTATATTCAAATCCTAGGCTTTCCATTCACTCATTTATGACCATGGGCACATGATCTTTGGGGGTCTGCGTCTTTATTTGCAAAATGGGGCTAAAACCACCTACCAAGGCTCTTATTCACTCAAGCATTCATTCAACAATATTTATTAAATGCCTACTGTGTGCTAGGTATTGTCCTGGGTTCTGGAGATTTAGCAGGAAACTAAATACATCTCCCCCAACCACTGTCCTTATTCCTCAAAAAATACAAAAGAAAAAAAATGCACAGGGAATTTATACTCTTTGGTTGAGAGGATTAAATAAAGTACCACAGGTACACTTAGCATGATGCTGGCACACAATAAATGGAAAATTACTAGTAATAATCATGTTTGCACAGTTAACTAGGGTCATAATATGAAATTGAATAACACTTTCCTTTATAATGAAGCCTGATTACCTTAATGGAATCAGAATGTATCATTTAAAACAAACAAGTGATTAACCCATAAACAGTACCAGAATTAGTAAGTTTGTAATTTCTCTAGTGCGGGTGTTCAGTAATCATAAACCAAATTTCCTTATGCCTTCCAGGAACAAAGGTATCTGTAAATCATTATCACAAGGATGTAGTCAGTATCAGATGCACCAATTACATAGTTATATGTTATCCTGTGGGTACTTCAGAGAAAATAGGATGACTCTTGATAATACCGTTGCGTTAATATCCATCTTTAAAAGTCTGCTGAACCCTGTGCAGGATAGCTTTTGGAAATAGCAAACTGGCAGTGACGCAGGTCAAATGCTTTCCTAATCCGATTAGGGCACTCTGATGGGGCTAGAAGTGACCTATCTCCAACAAGGGGCACTTGGCAAAAGTGTTATTACAAACTTACAAAAATTTAAAAGAAATGTTGCACTTTCTTTTTTTTTTTTTTTTTGGCAGCTTTTAGAATCAAGTTTTGAAGTAAAGCTGTTGTTATTGATTGTCTACCTGTTCAGCAAATAGCTCTACTTATCTAAAGAGGGAACAATTTGAGATAATGCTTGCTGAATAGTTGATGTTTCAGATTTTTAAATGCTCCTACAGGCTTGACTTGGGGACAGTGCCCTAAAATTGTTCAAATTTGAATTTGCTGTGCTGAATTAAGGTGGAAAAGCAATTCTCATGATGACTCTCTAGAAACAATTCAGAGGCAAGATTGTTGCCAGTTAATAGGATCAATATTTTTATCTAATAAAGATGCTATTTTATACATAACATGCTATAGCTGCATTATATGCCTCTGTAGATTTTCCAGTGTATTTTACTTGATGAGATTTAACACAGCTAAAGTTTACTGGCCACCAGTTTTATTTTATTCAGATAAGAATGCTTTTCTTCCATCCAAATAAGTTTGCAAATTTGACCTTTGCTTTTAAGTAATTATAGTAGATTGTATACAGTGACGTAAACATCCCTATGCCTTTCTAAAGTGTACATTAAAAATGTACTCTCTGGAAATATATGTTAATTTCTTGCAAAAAGTGCAAAGAGAAATGATATTGACTGGCTTCTGTCATCCATGTGCTAAACTAGTCTTTTAGTCCTCTGTGCTAAATGTTTTATCATTCTTAAATGTCTAATATAGAAATTAGAGTAAGTGCTGGCTGGATTTTCATGTGCTCTCCGACATTGGGTAACAGAGTACAAGTTTAACCTGAACATTCCTGAATAGAAATCCAAGTTCGACATGTATTTGCTGTACAATCAACCCCTTGTCCTACTGCCACCTCAGCAGTGGAACAGCATTAAATCAGCTGCTGCTCAAGGAGCTGTTGTGGGACAGAGATTGCCCTGGGCCCTAGTGTCTGACAAGCTATTGATTGTTAATATTTGGAATGCACAGATAGTGTCTTGTTGCCTGTAGGTAACTGCTTTGGGCTAGGATGGGGTTGGGAATTGGAGCTGTTACTTTAGGCTACTTCATGATGCAGGAACCATTGACCTGACAGAGCAGCTAACCATGACGTGCAAGCTGTGTTCAGAGGCACAATTATTTTAACTTGAAAATGGTGTGGTCTTTTTTTTTTTTTTTTTTTTTGAGGTCTCACTCTGTCACTGAGGCTGGAGTGCAGTGACACAATCACAGTTCACCACAGCCTCGATCAAGCTCCTGGGCTCAGATGATCCTTCTGCCTCAGGTTCCCAAATAGCTGGGGCTATAGGAATGCACCCCCAAGCCCAGCTAATGTTTTTTCTTTTCTTTTCATTTTTTTTTTTTTTTTTTTTTTTGAAACAAGGTCTCATTATGCTGTCTAGGCTGATCTTGAACTCCTGGCCTCAAGCGATACTCCCACCTCAGCCTCTCAAAGTGCTGGGATTACAGGCATGAGCTACCTTCCCGGCCTGAAAAATGGTGTAATCTTAATTGTGTTGTGTTTCTTCTCCCCAGTGAATCAAATTATATATTAAATATTCTATTTTTAATCTTTTTCTTAGTAAAAATATGTATGCTAAGTGCAGACTATTTTTCTCCAAAACAATCCGTGAGGTCTAGAGAACAGGGCATTTCCCTAAGACAGGCATCACAACATTGGCACTATTGACTTTGGGGGCTAGATGTCTTGTATGCTGTAGGACACGTAGCGGCATCCCATGCCTCTATCCATTAGATACCATGGCATCCCCCACCTATCACAACCAGAAATCTCTCCAGCCATCACCACATGGCCCCCAGAGGCAAAATCACCCATAGTTGGAAATAACTGTCCTAAGAAAAAGTGAATACTTGAAAATCCATTTTATCCTTCTAAACACAGAATGAGTCAGGGTCAGAGTAGATAAAAAATGTATTTTATTTTTTGACATATTTCTTTTGTGCTATAAGAATTGCTTTTGCAATATATACCCTATATTGCATAAAGCTTTACTCCAAAGCTCTCTTGAATATTACATACACGCTGGGATCATCTCAGTTCTTATTCCTTCAGAGGGAAGAATTAGGTACGTTGTGATGTCTTTCATTCTAAAATATGTTCTATGAGTCTGTTCCTTACGGCTGGGTAAGGAAAATAAATTGTTAAAAATTACCTTAAAGAACAGCATCTATTTTGTCCACAAGCTGCTTTGTTTCAGAGACAGATATTACTACACAAAGCATTTAACTTCAAGAATTGAAAGTCTTTTGAATTGGGAAGTTGAAAATGTACAGTCGATAAGGTGGGAAATTGTGTTTTGTTGTATTTTAAAAACTGGAAAAGCAAATTGTTAAAGTATATTTCAAGTAAATATCTTTATTCTATCTAAGGACAAATATATTTCATGATATGCAAATTTGCATGTCAACAAATAGAAACACTTTTATACATTCATTAAGGCATTTCTGGCAGAAAGTCTATCTTATAGCTGTTTATTCAGTACTGCCATCTGTAATTCCTTGAACATTCATGTAGCATTTCTTAGTTGTGTTCTGTTTCAAACTTCATATCTCAGACTTGTTTCTTACTAGTAGCTAGGTGAATTTGTTGTGGAATAGCTCAGAAGCATATAATAGGCTGGTAGAACATTTATAATTTTCCCAGACAAACCTGCATCAAGTCAATATGCCAAAACTTTATCTTATGTGCTCAAGAGGCATGGTGTCATCATCACCTTTCACACACCCCGAGAGATTTATTTACAGTTTACACTGACTGTGAAACTTCTGTTATCCCCTGGGAGTTCTGCCTTATGTATTCCAGATAATAGGACACTTGCAACCTATTAACAGTTGTAAACCTATCTTTCAAGTACATCTGACATAGCAATTATGAAACATGTTTCTTAGACAAGTTTCTAGAATTAAATCAGGACAAAGATGGAGATTAGGTGACCCCAAGAAGTTTTTACATAAAAGTTTATCTATTATTCAAAAATAAATTACAACTGATATAGACCCCAAGCTTTAAAATCCTAGTAAAGGATTTAATGGATTTTTTACCTGTCGTATTTTTAAAAAACATTCACTTGATGAATGTTTTTAAATAAAACATCCTTATTCTAAATGAGAGTAAATAAATGCAGCATAAAAAGGAGAGAGAAAAGGAAGGAATAATGTACTATGGATGGATAGATGGATGGACAGATGGAGGACACATATGTAATATAGGATATCAACATTGAAATGAGACTTGCATATTAAATTTTGCTTTTTATTTTATTTTTCAGCCAATGTTTTCAGTTGCACCAAGCTTAGCCACCAACGCATCAGCAGCCTTTAATCCCTATCTGGGACCTGTTTCTCCAAGCCTGGTTCCAGCAGAGATCTTGCCGACTGCACCCATGTTGGTTACAGGGAATCCTGGGGTCCCTGTACCTGCGGCTGCCGCAGCTGCTGCACAGAAATTAATGCGGACAGACAGACTTGAGGTAGGAATGACTAGTTGATTTCTTTATGTACTCCGTTCTAATTCTGAGAGAGAGAGAGAGAGAGAGAGAGAGTGTGTGTGTGTGTGTGTGTGTGTGTTTTGTTGTTGTTTCCATGGCCAAAAAGTTTTTAAAAATTCAAAGCAGAGACTCTTGCTTAGAGATTGAAGCTTTCTACTAGAATATAGTTATGCCACATTTGATGAATGTAATGCTTACAAAAGCCACAGCACCCTTGTATAGAATAGTGGATGAGAGCTTGGACTTTGGGGTTAGATTGTTTTTTATTTCACTGTGCTTTTGTTTTCTTATGTTTAAAATGGAGATGATAATGGCACTTACCTCAAATAATTAGTTGAACATCTAGCACATGGCAAGTGTTTCATAAATGTTTGTTTTTGTTGCTGCAATCAAGAATACTAGATAGCCGGGCTCGGTGGCTCAGCCTGTAATTCCAGCACTTTGGGAGGCTGAGGTGAGTGGATTGCCTGACCCCGTGGGTGTGGTAGCACACGCCTATAGTTCCAGCTACTGGAAGGCTGAGGCGGAAGGATTGCCGGAGCCCAGCAGGTCGAGGCTGCGGTGGCCGGGAGCGGCCACTGCACTCCAGTCTGAGCGACTGAGTGAGACTCCAACTCAAAAAAGAAAAAGAATACTAGATTCTGGCTAGGTGTGATGGCTCTCACCTGTAATCCCAGCACTCTGGGAGGCCAAGGCGGAAGGATTGCTTGAGCTCAAGGAGTTTGAGAACAGCCTAAGCAACATAGTAAGACTTCATGTCTACAAAAAAAAAAAAAAAATCAAAGGATTAGTTGGGCATTGTGACCATGGACCTGTAGTCCCAGCTGCTCAGGAGACTGAGAGGAAAGGATATCCTAAACCCAGGAAGTCGAGGCTGTGGTGAGCCATGACTGTGTCATACCACTGCAATCCAGCTTGGTGACAGTGTGAGACTCCAACTCCAAAAAAAAGGACGATTAGATTCTGTCAAACTCCTAGCAATTTTCTCATAATGATGTAACAAATGTTACTACTATCTATAAAACATTTTTAAATGGTCACAGCTTGACTGAGCACAGTGGCTCATGCCTGTAATCACAGCACTTTGGGGGGGTAAGGTAGGAGGATTGCTTGTGCCCAGGAGTTTGAAGCCCACCTGGGCAAAACAGCAAGATCTTGTTTCTACAAGAAATTAGCTGATGTGGTGGTGCATGCCTATAGTCCCAGCTACTCAGGAGGCTGAGGCAGGAGGATCCCCTGAGCCCAGGAGGTTGAGGCTTCAGTAAGCCATGATCACATCACTGCACTCCAACCTGGGAGACAGACTGAGACCCTGACTCAAAAGACAAATAAACAAGTAAATAAAATGTAATGTATTATAGCAAGTTTCCTCATAAGCTATACAATATTTTGGTTGAAATAGCAAGGCAGCCTTGTTTGTGAAGTGTGTTCTTATAAAGTTTCTAATAGGAATTTGCCTAATGCTTTAAGTCATAGAATCAAGGATGATCACGCACATGTGCTTTGCTGTTACTGTATGAGAAAGAAACTAAAGTTCTAAATCTTATTTTGAAGTGGTTGTTTACATTTCAGCATGGCTGTGAATTAATGAATTTGGTAAACTATAGATATAGGGGGAAATAGCAGTTTTAAATGAACATTGAAGGTATAAACCTGGCATTGAACCCCCTAAAGGACAAAATGATTTTTTCATCTTTTCCCTGGTTAGGATGAGGCAATATTTACTGCTGAGAAGTTCTACATGTATTACTTACTCAGAAAGTGACAAAATAAGACCACTCTGTGCAAACATAATTGACTCTAATAATTTTTCAGTTTAGAAGGAATTTAGTTGTGAAGCACCAATTTCTTACTTATAACTTTCATTGCATGAATTACAAGCAGTCTCAGATTTCAGCATATGTAGTCTTCTAGCAGATACATGTGTCTCATGTTTAATCCTCAAAACAATCTTACGAGAAAGATGCTATCATTAACTCCATTACAAAGACATCAGTTTCGATGGAGAGATGTGAATAACTTGTTCTTGCTAGAGATATGCCTGGATTTTTTTTTTTTTAAGTAATTTGTCATTATATATTTATACTTGCTCATTAATTAACTAATGATGCTTGCAGATTAGGAGGAAATTTAAGAAATTTTAAACTTTTTTTCCAATTATTGGATGTTTAGCATGTACAACAGTTTTATTCCCCCTGACTTTTCTGAAGCAAACCCTGGGATCTTCTTTTTTTTTTTCCTTTGAGTCAAGATCTCACTCTCTCACTCTGTCGCCTAGGATGTAGTGCAGTGACACGATCACAGCTCACATAGCCTTGACTTCCTGGGCTCAGACTATTCTTCTACATCAGCCTCCAGAAGAACTGGAGCCACAGTTGCACACCACCACATCTGGCCAATTTTTTAAATTACTTTTGTAGAGACAAGTTCTTGCTGTGTTGCTCAGGCTGGTCTTGAACCCCTGGACTCAAGCAACACTCCTGCCCTAGCCTCTCAAAGTGCTGGGATTACAGGCTTGAGCCACTGCAATCAGCCTGGGTTCTTAATGCATAATTGTGGATTGATTAATGGAAACCGAATAGGCAGTCTGAGGTGAACTTTAACAAATTAATTATTAATAGGTGATATTTAAAAAACTGGTCAGAGCTCTTCTAAACTAATCCTTCCACAATTCTAGGTAGACTGTTGTTGGTTGTATCGTGTAGTGCTTTGTCAAAATGAAGACTTTTGTCTTGGTTTTCTCTTTTTTGTGAGGCGCTGCCTCATGTATTTTGTCCATTTTTTTTTGCTACAGTCAGAACTTTACCTCAATTCCACTTTTCTAAGTGCTCGATGGTAGAGCAGCTTCCTCTCTTACTCTTGTTAACAGGATCTGATCCAGTGTCGCAATTACAACCTGTTAGGGTATTGCAGCATGCAGCAAAGAAGCACATCTTTCTGCTCTGTGCTTGTGATTTCAGACAATCCTATCTTCTGGTTATTTCCTCACATGCTAATTGTACCACATTTTGAAGTCTAAAAGGCATGGGGATAAACACATGCGTTTATGTATACAATGCTGAGAAGTTCTACATGTATTAGTTACTGAGAAAGTGGCAGAATTAGGCTGTTATTTAAACTTACTTGACTCTGATAATTTGCCAATTGGGCTATATGTTTTTTCTATTAATTTGGAGTTTAAATTAATACTTTATTTTTCCCTCATAGGAATTTTGAGTACAATTTCTGAATTTTGAATCTCTTTTAAGGTGAATATTTTCTGAATCAATTAAACTATTGGCCAGTTCTTCTTGCCACTTATTTTTCTCTTTTTGCTACAACTTATTTAAACAATAAAGAAATTAAAAATACTATAGATTGCCAGCCTTCTGTTTCTTACATAAATACTTACAAAAACTGACATATTTACAGCACTTAGTGTAATACTACCAAAAAGGTGCTAAATTGGAAAACAGGAATCCTAGAATTAGTGCTCATGATGTTGCTGGTTAGGTGAGTAAGCTTGGGTCAGGATTCTCATATCTTCTGGACTTCATATTCCTCACATATAAAATTAGGGAGTTAGGGGTAATCCCTTCAGGTCCCCTCCCACTGTGGGAGCTTTTCTGTCTTCTCAATAAATCCTGGTCTCAAAAAAATAAAAATAAATAAATCAGTACTTTTACAATAAAAAATTAAATTAAATGAAGGAATTATACCAGATAATCTTTAAGGTCACCTCCAGTTAAGACATCCTAGGGACATTTAGGTTATTTTCTTGCTTTTAACACCAGCTACAAACTATTTGAAACACTTATGAAAATTGCATACATATAACACATAATACATGTATATAACACCAACATACAACATGACATTTACAGCAATATTCATATTATTCTGTTTTTACTGTATATCTTTCAAAAGACTTTGTAGCCAAGTACACCCTATACCCTGAAATTCAGGCTTCCTGAATTTTCTTGAAAAAGAAGCAATCTCTTAAATATCACTCACTGAAGTGTGGCTTTTAAAATTCTATATTATGACCTTGGGATGCCTTGCTATAATTTCCAAGCAGTCAATTTTATTTCAATGATCATTTTAAGATATTATTAAAATCTGTAGGTACTGGAAAAGATGGGGTTTTTTAGTCATACCTCTGCTTTACTACAAAGAGCTAGTAATAGGGTATATCATTGTATGACTTATTTTCAAATCACCCAGTAATTTTTCATGGTGCGAAAAGGATCCAGGAAGATAATCATTCTCGCATTTACTCAGTAATATTTAATGGATGATTTTTGAACATCTTTCAAGTAGAAGACATAAGGAATGTCTTTGAAACCTTTCAATTTCTGTTTTGTCAATCACACCAAAAAAAGATCCACATAAGAATAGTGCCCATCTCATAATTGATGATCAATAATTTGTTAAATGAATGAATAAATGAGTCAATCAACCAGTTACTCAGTTAATCACACAAAGATATGTGCCCTTACTCAGTGCTTAGCTTAATCTTACAGAGATGATAAAATGTGAAATATTTTTAACTTGAGGAAAATATTTAACGTTTGTTAACATTCTTCTTAGGAACATGTTTATATTTTGAGCATTCCAACAACAAAATATGGCATCTTGATTATACTACTAGACCTAGAGCTGTGATTTTCAAGCTTTAATAAGATTAGAATCATTTGGAGGTGATTGTGAAACACACAGGGTCTCATCCCCAAAGACTGATTCAGTAGGTCTGCAGTGAGGCTCAGCAGTTTTTCCTTCCAGGTGATTCTAAATGCAGATAGATCTTCCAGGTGATTCTAAATGCAAATAGTCTACAAAACACTTGCTTTAGAAGATGCCAACACCTGTTATTTAAGCCTCAAATTTTCACCATTTACTCAATGAATAGTCATTTGACTCTTAATTAAAACTGCCTTCTCCAATACTCTTAACATTCTGCATAGCTTTAAGTTGCTGAGAACACAATGCCCAGCAAAATGAAA